AGAAAAGAAATTAGCAAGAGTCATCATCTTCCATACTTTCGCTAAGACGCCCAATAAGAAAACCACCCCCCATGAAAGATGAGTGGCGAAGATAAAGGAGAAGAGAAAAAAAAATCAAGGAAGGAAAATGAGATTCTTTTCATCACAGAAAACACGAAGAAAATTCCATCAAACGAATTTCTATCCAATTAATCGGATTTCAATCAACTCAACACTCACTCAAAAAGTTTTTCCACCCCTGAGAAAATTTAATCCCTCCAAACTAAATTTCTCCAAACTGATACGATTTAACCAGAAATTCCGTCTTTTCTCTCTCTTTCACACTGTTGCAATTCAATAAGAGTCTTGGTGTAAAGTTAAGGATGCTTTTTTTCTTTAAACTCTACTTTGGCAAGTAAAGGGGAAATTAAATTAATCTCTCCATTCACACAACAATTCTGTGTGGGCAACAAAGTCATTTCTTACACCGCATTTCTCCAATAACACAATTTCTCCCACATGCTTCCCAGACTCAAATACTCAAATCAACATCGACGGGTGCCTCGAAAACTATCAAAAGTCAAAATCCCCATTTTCCAGCTGAGCGAGTTCAAAATCTTACTTCAAAACACTTAAAACGCCTTCAAATCGTCCGTTAAAGAGCAAATATTGCTCTGTATTTTTTATTTTGTAAGTATTTTAGTTGATTTCATTGGTATTTTTTGGGATTCTTGACTAAAATATGGCAAAATTAATGACAAACATGTTTGGAACAGTTAAAATATTGTTTTGGTCACTAAAAATGCAGTTTTGTCGGTAAAAAAATTAATTTGGTCAGTAAAAATGCAGTTTTGTCAGTAAAAATATTGTTTTGGTCAGTAAAAATGCAGTTCTGTAAATAAAACAATTAATTTTGTCAGTAAAAATGCAGTTCTGTAAATAAAACAATTAATTTTGTCAGTAAAAATGCAGTTTTGTCAGTAAAAAAAATGAAGTTGGTCAGTAAAAATGCAGTTCGGTCAATAAAAAAATTAATTTGGTCAGTAAAAATGCAGTTTTGGTCAGTAAAAAAATTAATTTGGTCAGTAAAAATGCAGTTTTGGTCAGTAAAAAAATTAATTTGGTCAGTAAAAATGCAGTTTTGGTCAGTAAAAAAATTAATTTGGTCAGTAAAAATGTAGTTCTGTCAGTAAAAAAAAATTCATTCGATCAGTACAGCAAATATACTGACCAAACTGTTTTCTTACAGATACTTTTTTAACTAACTAAACTGCAGTTTTATTGACTTTTAAATGACCAAAATATTTTTTTTACCGACCATATTGATTTTTTACTGACTAATTAATTGTAGCTAAATTTAATGGAAAATCTGAAAATATTACTCGATAAAAGTCGATTTTATCCGTTGACTTGAATTTTTCTTTACAGTTTTCAAGTGAAAAAATTAAAAAAAAATATGAGAAATATCCATTCAAAGTCTAAAAAAGATTTTAGGATAATCTTGAAAACCAAAAAATATTTTCTGAAAATGCATTTTATGTGTTTGATTGCAATTTTTGAGGCAATTTTCTTAGAAAAATTGCACAGCGTAAACAATTAAAATTCTACTTTTAATTCACAAAACATTTTCATAGTTTTCCATTCACCCGTCGACATGTAAAACCCTGTGGAATTCCATTTACCAACTGCGGGAAAAGCGTCCAATTGAGCAACTTGAAGCAATTTTCAACAACGAAAATCCCCCGCAAATAATCAATTTCCATTTGGAACGAATGATTCTCATTTTCTCCCATGTTTTGTAGTTTTTTTTTTCACCCCGTGTAATACACAGCTTTCCACGTTATAGTTTTCCACATAGAAAAAAAACCGGCCCTTTCTACACCAATCAACTCCCCATGAGGTGGTGATGGAGAAAAAAAAAGTATGTAAAAATCCCTATTAGGACACACAACGCACGGGCATGACTAAAATGAACAACATTTCAATTAAAATTTAATTGGATTCTGTTGACAAGTCCATTATTTACTTTGTCACACAAAATAGCGCCATGAAAGACCGCTTTAAGCAAGAACACGCAGAAAACAATTAAAGCACTGGAAACATAAGCATTTAATTACTAATAATGCGAATCCCACATCCAATAAATGCATTCACTCCACTCGCCCATTCATCAATTGTGCATCGCGCTCTGTTCGCCTTGATATTGCCATTGGCCAAATTAAAATCAAATTCAATCAAACTTGCAACTTAATCGTCATTTAATCATCAAATTCACTCGCGGGCAAAAACGCTCTGCACACGTTTTCCCAATACGGGACGAACATTTGCTGATCAGCAGTGGAAAAAGGCAAATAACGACTTGCGAATGTGCAATATTTGATTCACTTGCGAATGACGAGGTAAAAAAAAAAAAGCTCACGGGAAAACCAGGGAAAATGTGTGCTTCTGACATGTCTTTTACCCTTAACATACTGTGGATGTTTTAATGAAAAAGGAGAAAAAGTTTTGCTCTGCACAAAAAACAAATAGAGAGAAAAAAAACTAGGGAAAAGTAATAGATTCACAAGTAATTTTTCTAATTTTCTTCATCCACTCTTTGATTCATGCAACCATTTTTTCACCTCTTGAATATTTATTATTATTACAAATTGTAATTAGAAGGAAGTCAACTAAAATGTTTCCCACACTGAAAGTGACGTTTGTAAAATGAATTTTAGGAAAATTATTACAATTTTCAGCAACAACTGAAAAGCTCTGTGTTTGTTTCTGAACATTTCTCAAAAGTCTCGCATTTCTCGCAGTTTGACAGGAGAATTGAAGGCTTTAAAAAAGGTGCAAAAACACCCTTTTTACCCAGGAAAACAAGTTGAAAATTCAATCATGCTGAATTTATCTCAAAATTAGTATTTAAAAGCTATTTTAATTCCTTTTTCGCATGCATTTTTGCTCAAAAATTCACAAAAATCAACTTATTACAATTTTTCATGCACATTTTAATCAGTTCCATAATTTTCCACTCAATTTTTATTAATATGCGCCGAAAGATATTAAAAAAAACCATTTTTTTTGCAAAAAATGAAAATTGTCTGAATATGAATTGCTAAATGTCCTAGAAAAAAGGCTAAAAACTTTTTAAAAATGTATTCATTTGAAAATATTCTAAAATCACACCTCTTTATTTGGAATATAAATTTCTCGTGAACTTAATAACAAATTATCAGTGGAATTGTCTCGATAATTGATTAGTTATTATTCATTTATTAGCAAACATTCCTGAAATTATGTGTTAAATTATTTATTATGTATCTGACAAGTGTAATTGAATTGTATTCCACAGATATCATCAAATGCTTTAATCAATAATCAATTGCTCTGCACGCGAGAATTCTCTTCAGTGAAAGCATGCAATTAATTCCCGAGACAGTCAAAGGAATTAACATTTGTACTTCATCTCTTTCTCCGCGGCAAAATGAGATTGCAAAATGAAATGACACTGTGTGTGTAGTTTTGTGTGTACAATTGAGTGTGTAAAAAAAATGCAATTTGTGAATTGTAATGAAGAACGAGAGAATGAATTTGTAGCCAAAGGACATGGAAAATTCAATCAAATGAATTTTTTCCTCCCATTCATATGCAATTCACACAAACTCATCCTCACTTGCTTGGGCAGAATAACAACAGCAGGACAAAAAGGACGTGATAAGCAAACGCCAAGGTTAGCTGAAGAGTGAGCTGGGCGACAAAACCGATTTTAAAACAAAAATTTCAAACCTCCATAGCTCTGGTTCTATGGCATTGACAAAAAAGTATGATCACTTTTTGGAAACGACACAATCTGGACTAAAAAAGTAATAAAACATTTTGACAAAATTCTTTTAAAATTTTATTAATGACACTAGCGCCCCTAGCAGTGGTCAGACAAACTTCTATTAATCTAAATACGTGTAGATTTTTGCTAGAACTTTCCAACGAGCCTAAAACTATTAAAATCGGATAAATAGAACCGAAGTTACAATACATACAAAATCAAAACTTTAAACTGCCATAACTTCGGTTCTATTATTTTAATAAAAAGTTATTAACTATTTTTAGAGACGTTCTGACATGAACTACAACATACTAAAATTTAAAGAAAATCCACAGTCTAGTTTTCAAGATATTTAATTTTAAGATTTTAAAAATCGTTTTTTTGGCTTTAGCGTTCATAGCGGTAGTCCTACCAAGTTATAATATTTAGGTAGAAGATGGCATTTTATGAGATCTTTCCAATGAATACAAAATTACTCAGATCGGATAAATAGAACCGAAGTTAAGGCCATTTAAGGTTTCACAATTTAGACCATAATATCTAGGGTCCTGAAGGACCTAGGTCTTTAAGCGGTGAATCGTTGGAAAGGTCTTAAGACTAGCTATAACATACTGGAATTTGGATCAGATCCACGCTATAGAGGCTGAACAAATGAGTAAAACGTTTTTGGGGATGTTCAAAATGGCGGACGGACATTTGACACTACTAAGTTCAAGCGGCAGCAAGACTTAACCTGGACCGACCGACGGAGGGACGGAACCCAAAGAGAAAACAAAAAATGACCCCCATTTTTCGTCATAATCAGCCTCCCTGATGTCATTTTAATCGATTTTGCGACTTTTGACTTTTTGCGCGATCACAGATAAGGCTTTTCGCCCAGCTCAAATTGAGCACACTCAGAAGTGACTAACACACACACACACAGGCGCAATTCAAAGTTCAAAGTGAAATGGAATGTAAAATAAAAGTGATGCGAATGGAAGTTTGTTGAGAGAGAGAGCAACAAGATCAAAGGTGGTTGTGAAAGTGCATCCGTGTGAAATATTATAATGTTGGGATGATTCTGGATGACATAATCACACATTCAGCAAACAAACTATGAGACACTTTGTCAATTTCTACACTTCAAAATCAAAACCATAACTTCACACTCTCTCTCCCTGTGTTTTTCAGGGGGTGGCAAAAGTGTGACGAAAGTAATGCAATTACTTACCGCGTGTTTCAACAAATTCCCTCCCATTGGGCAATTGCACGGCCGTGCCGAAGCCACCCAATTTCACGGGTGCTGAATTGTCCACAGTGGCCAACAGGGCGCACGCTGGCCTCACATCGCGATGAAGAATGTCATTCTCATGACAATAGCGCAGCGCCTCCAGTATTTGCCTCATGTAGTGACTGAAAAACACACACAGCAAACAAATAGACGGATATCAATGGTAAAAAAGCTCCGCCAATTACGCACAGACAGTGGAAAATTCATTAAATTTTTACCATGCCACGGCTTCGCTGTAGACAAATCCCGCCACTGCGCGTCGCACCACCTCAAAGCATATGTCCGAGCCCTCCATGCTAGAAAGACAGAATTGCACCCCGTCATTCTCTCAATATATGCACACCCCAACTATACATATTTGGCCTCTGCCCTCTGTGAGATCCAAGGGGGAGATAATGCAGTCAGAAGTGGTGAACAACTCAGCAGAAATACTTAAGAATCGGAAGTGTTGAAAAACCAACAAAATATTCCAACAAATCATCCAGATTCTCTGAATTTCCTTCGATTTTCACGCAGAAACAAACGTAAAAATCTTTTTTCTAGGTTATGTAACAAATCAAGAACAGATTTAGTGAATAATTCTGCTAGTTCTTGGCAAAATGAGGCATTTTCAACCAATTTTCATGCTTTCTTGATCCTTTGACGCCAAGAAACACTGCAAATTGTGCTGAGATTGAACATAACCTCAAAAATAGTCATTTGAACTTGGAAAATGCCCATTTAGACAACTTTCTGGACAATTTTGACGAAGAATCAGCAATTTTAAGATCATTGGCAAGTCATAAGAGATGATTTTGTGAGTTAGAAAACTTTCAAATAAAGTTCTAAAAGCTCTTTTAGTGATATTTTTGAGGTTATGATCAGAAAAGATGTCCAAAAACAGGCGATTTTAAGTCGATTCTTACAGAAATATCGAATGGAAGTTAAGAGATTCATTATAATTTGGGAATTAATGTGGAAACAGACTGAAAATTTTGTGTTCTAGAAGTTTCAGGCAAATTTGGAAGTGTTTGAAAGTGTTGCACAGAAATTTAAGGCATATTTTCTCCCCCTTGGTGAGATCAAATGAAAAATTTCGCAATCCAACTCTGACGGTCAGGAGTGGAAAAATAAAACCCAAACAGGAGGAAGTCTGCCTCAACAAGTCTCTCTGTCTCTGAATATTCTCCCGGTTGGAATTCCGCAGTGCATCGGCAAAAAGAGTACACAAAAACAGATAAAAAACAGTCATATTACACGGACAGAAGCTCCAATATTCTCCGCGCTTCAACCATTCGCTCACCTTCATCGCACACAAAACTCTGCCAGTCAATAAAGCCCCAACACAACACACGAGTCTTCAGGCACAAAAGTGTCGCTGGCAAAGCTCCCTTTTTTCCATCCCTTACACACCCAGATTTGAGACCGTTTCCAAGCGCCCTTCGCAGCAACTATTTCACAAGTCCTGAACAAGCGCCGCTGCTTTTAAATTACATGAATAGCCTCTCGCGCAGCACTCAAATTGAACAAGTTCAGAAGGACAAAAATCATACGGTCAACCCTTTAAGGACCCTCCAAGGACCCTCCAAAGATCCTCAAAGTGGAGTCAAAGAATTAAAATAATGTAAAATTAGAGTTCTGCTTTCACAATTCAAAGAATTCACTGTATTTCAGCAAAACTGTCGCATTTTTCTTATATATTTTACACTATCAATTCCCAGTAAAATTGAGGAATGTTAAAGAAGTATGATTGATAGTTTAAAATACTCCTTAATATTCTAAGACACACAAGAAAGTAAAGTTAAATTTCACTACTTGTGTTATTTGCAATTCTTGTTCATGTGTGTTAAGCCAATTTGTAACACTTGAATGTGTTATCTTAAAATGACCTTGATCTATACAAATTTTTCAAATTACTACAAATCTCTTTGGTTTTCATGCGATATTTTTGTAAAAATTCACTTAAACAGCTTTTTTCAGTGTCTTTTCCGACCATAACCTCAAAAATATCACTACGTCATCATTCGAAGCTTTATAGATGATTAAATCATCTTTTATGATTTGCCAATGAACTCAAAAATGCTGATTCCGAGTCAAAATCATCCAGAAAGTATTTTAAAGAAACATTTCCAAGTCCAAATGACTATTTTTGAGGTTACGTTCGTTCTTAGCACGATTTTCGGTGTTTCTTTAGCATCAAAAGATTAGAATAGCAATGTTTATCGCATGAATTGATGCATTGATAAGAATTGGTGTGCTAAAATGCAAAATATTCACTAAATCCATCCGTAATTCGTCACATAATCATTTAGGCAAATTTCACAATTTTCTTTCTTTTACACGATTTGGAATCGCTTTAAAGTCGTTAACACTGTTTTAGCAAGAATTTTAAAAGCTGTTTTTCCTTATTCTTTTAGAATGATTAATTTTTACATGTTTGAATTTTAACACCCTTCAGTTTGAATAGGAATTGATTCAATATTCCGCACAGATTCATCATTAATTCTGTTTCCACATAAATGTGAAAAATTGAATTAATTATAATTCAATTCCAATTAATTTGCTTGATCATATATCACGTGCCATTCGAATTCAAATGAATAATAGACGAATGAAGTAAAATATCTCCCCATTTGTCTCATCCACATTTGAACCAATTGAAATTATTAAGTGCAAATATGTTCCAAAGATGCTCAACGCAATATGTTGGCAATTGGATAGATGGCATTGTCCCTTTTCTCTCTCCTTCTGCGCTCTTCATGATGTTGTGCAGCGTATTTCTGGTACGTGAATTGCTGGGCTATTTATTATTTTGATGATGGTATTAAGCCACTCTGCAATCTCTCTTTTTTTCATCCATTTATTTCCGTGAATATCTCATTTTTCACATCCTCACACACTCACACAGCGTCAGCATCGTAAGTGAAAATGTGATTGTAACATGTGTTACCATCCCGGAAGACATGACAAGACGAAGAAGTGTCCGCCCATCCCCATCATTTCCGGCAATCCTTGCGGTTAAGTGAATTTTCCCAAAAATTCAACCATTACATGCCACACTTGAGCAAGCAAATTTTCATCATCTTTCCTCCCTTTTTCCCACGCAAACTGTTGACGCCTCAAATGTCACCCGGAGAATGATGGAAAATTCTCACCGGCAGCGCATATTGTTTTCCCATGAAGAGGTTTTTCATTTTCATCCACAATACTTTTTCAACCCTGAAAATTCTATGTTTATATTGATATATCAAGAGGGTAGTCAGTCGCAAATTAAGACCATTCACTTTGTGATTATTCAATCGTTTTTTCTTTATGATTTCTTGATTATTACTAAAATTTTGATTATTTTTTGTTTATTTTCTGAATATTTGGATAAAAATTATTTATTTCATACACATTCTGATTATTTTGTAATTTTATTTGGGAAAGTAATAATTTTTTTTTTGATTATTAAATTCTGAATTTGATTATTTTGAATAATTTGTAATTTTCCTTGGGAAAAAATCCTGTTTTTTAATTATTTTATTAAAATTTTGATTATTTTGTAATTCTTCTTGGGAAATATATTTTTAAATTTTTTTGAAAATTTTATTTCTTTTGTAATTTACTTGGAAAAACCCTTTTTTAACTTTTTTATTCAGAATTTTATTATTTTGATTATTTTGTAATTTTCTTGGGAAAATAATCATTTTTTAAAATTATTTTATTGAAAATTTGATCATTTTGCAATTTAACTTGGGAAAATAATAATTTTTTTGATAATTTTACTCAAATCATAATTGATTTTTTGATTAGAAAACATTATAAGTTTCCTCAAAAACCGCCTTCTGACTTCCCCCTTAATATATACATATATGTAGTCAATTAAATCAACTCCCCAATAAAACCCTCCCCGCTCTCTTAGGTGCCCCATCAAATTTTCTATCCTCGTGCCCACCACATCATTTACCGCCCATCCGATCCCTTTTTGCCTATAAGGGTTTTATCGTATCACACGCATCGGTAAGTTTCGAAGCCAATGACATCAACATCAACAGGAGAGGCAGACGGCAAATGGCACAAATTTATATATAAGGCTAAAATCTTCAAATTTCCACCCATCACATTACATATCAGCCATACATATTTTCCATATCAAACTTCGTATTTCACATTATTGACTTGGGGAAGAAATTTTTCCTCTCTTTTTTTAATATAATTTAAACGAGTGGAAGTTTCTTATTGTGTGTGTGATATTAATACGAAAGAGACACGCTAGAAGTCGAAGAAAAGAAGTGAAAAGTCAAGTTTTGATTTCAAACCCCCAAAAAGGAACTCCCAACTATATATGAATTTTCACATTAAGTGTGGAAGAAATTTATTTATATACAGAGAAATCCCCGAAAAACTTGTACATTCTGTGCACGTATGTGCTCTTTTGAAGGGCTTTTTGACTACTTTTGCCCCGCGCCTTTTCCGCCAATTTCACCCACATTCTATACATTTTATTGCCATATTGATAAGGGGAGAAGAATTTGCCAATATTGCGGATCTATTAAAAAATTCCCTCTCAAAAGAAAGAAAGAAAAGGCAAAAATACTCACAACTCAAAGACCATGTAGAGCATTCCTTCGGAGCTGTATGTTTCCAGTAATTCAACAATATGTGGATGCTTTAGCATGTGGCAAATCGTTGCTTCTCGCTTCAGATCTGCAAATATATAAAGAACAAATGTAAATTTGCACAAATATGCCTCATTCATTAGCTATATTGAGATTCTTTTTTTTTGGAAAAATCATTCTTGTTTGAATTGCAAAACAACAAGAGAAGTTAACAAAGTTGTGAACATAATTTATTTAATATTCTTCGAAGTGTATAAATAGAATTTTCTTGGTAATGATTTATTTTTAAATTTCTTCCTGCAATATAGGGGAGAGTGGGGCAGTTTGGGGCGAAATATTCATATCAATTTTCAATTCAAATACATAAAAGATGAAACGTTGGAGGGAAACTCTATTCAACCACTAAAAATACAAGAGTTTTCCACGGTATTTTGTACAAAACTGCCCCACCGCGGGGCACATTCGGACTTTCTATGTTTCAGTCAAGATTTCAGTTATTCTTAGTGTTTAATCCTAAAGAAATGATAAAGAAAGCCTTTATGTAACTGAAAAACATTATTTCAGTGCCAAAATCTAAGATTTTTCATTGTAGAATTTACCGGAGACACATTAGCACAGACACATTTAAAGAAAAATTCATTTTTTCCCATTCTTCCAAGAACACCATGAATAAAATGAAAGAAAATCAGCAAGTTATCAAACTCTTATAGCGCTATTAAATTGAAAATAGTGGAAATACGTAGTTTCATCTCAATTTTCCGTTCGAAAAAGGCGGTGTTCAAAGCTGCCCCACTCTAAAATAAGTTCTCCCGCAAAAACATCCGTGTGAATGTAGCCTAAAGAGACCTTTGATTGCGCAGTGGTTTTATTCCACCCTATAAATCTCCCCCGCTCTCTCCTAAATACAGAAAGTACTAGAATGTAATCTGAAAGCGCTGAAAAACAGAAATGTTTACCAAACAACTCTCAGTGAAATCTTTGAAGCATATCGCAAAGAGAGAACTCTTGTCCATGGGGAAATAAATAGACCATCTGATGGAAAATAGTTAGAAGAGGAATGACCGCAAAATATGCACAGATCAGAAGCAGAAATATATGTGTAAACATGATCATCCTCTTCATCCTTTTTGCCAATTTAACCCAGTGCGATTTGCAGCGTCAACATAATATTATGCACCCTTCAAAAGGCTTATAGAAAGTGACTTTGTTTCTGCTGCATCTTCTCTCCATTCGACAAACAGATGGCTTAACTTGTGTATTATTTTCCCGCCAAGCAATTCAGAGAAAGGATAATAGAATTATATACATATCTACACATCTTTAAGGGAGAACAGAATTTTAATCTCACCACCGAGATCTTCACTAAACAGCCGCCGTCGCTTGTCATTTTCCAATACGACGAACTCACGTAAATAAGGTAGAATTTTATGGGTGATTGTGAAAGAAGCTCCACAAAAACGTTGTCTAGCACAAAATTTCCATGAATATTTCAGCGCAAACCAATTTGCCATCCGGGTTAAACGGTTGACATGTACGTGTCTTTACCAATTCCAATTGCCTCCCAAACCTCCTTGGCAGCATGGACAAAATGGCATGAAAATGGATTTCCTCTGGAACTCCAGCGACACTGCCATCCCCCCTTAATATCCCCCCGCGATTTAAGTAATCGTTATCGAAGAAGTCTGAGAAAAAACACGCAAAATAGTTGTGAATTTATCCAAACACTCTCGTCGCCATTTGACATCATTTTATTCCCTCGTCGTGTGTTAAGAGATCCCGCCAATAAATGTTAAAGAAAATTGGATGTGAGAAATGTTCGAAAGCCAAAGAAAAAAAAATCGTAACACTTGTTGATGACACTCTGATGTTGCCTTGGTGATACTTTCCTACCTTCTTCTTATCTTCTGTCTCACTGTCTCTCTAGGTTCACCACATTTGAAACAACAGCAGTAAAAAAGTAAATTTAACGAATAAATGGGTCAATTTAAGGGAAAACTTCTACACGTGACCTCACAGATAAATACTTTGAAATTTGTTTCAATCCAATTTCATCCTCTCAACTTTCTTCATCTTCTGTGCGCTCTTTTTCTCCGTCTGTCTACACTTAAAAAATTTAAACAATAGAACAACACTCATTTCTTCTATTTTCCCTCACTCTCTCTCTCTGCCTTTCATCCCCTCTGGAATATATAGCTGAATTTTTATTTCCCATAATTTTGCGATAAAAAAGAGAGAGAACGCAGCGGCACAATTGTAGGACATAATCATAAATAAGACAAGTACGGTTCCTGCACAAGAAGCCACGCGGACAGAGGGTCACCTGAATGGCACAAAGCTGCCATTTTATTTGCCCAACACCGAAGAGGACCATGCAAATAAATTTCCTATAAATGATTTCAATTTATATTTGACAAAAGAGCCTTTTTCCGGGGGTGCAAAAATGCGTTTAGCTGACGCAAACACAATTGAGAAAAAGAGGTCGCTTTTCGAAATCCTATTTTCTCACACTCCACACGCTCTCAAGCGAATTTATCCACACCCAAATAATGTCACAGTGATTATTATTATTTTTCCTTCAATGGAATTATGCTGAAATTGCCATATTTTGTGGAAAAAAAAATACAGAGTTGTAAAGCAACACGTAAATTAGTATAGTTTTTAGTCAAATAACGCATTCTGACGAAACGATGTGAATTTTCTGAGTATTGCGGAAAATGTGATTGAGTAAGCAAAGTCACAAATTCAGTATTATTGAGCAAATGCATTTGGCAAATAATTTAGCAAAATTTGAAACTCTCGCGCTCGGAGACAATTTGGAAGTTATGTTTCCTACTTTTCCCGGGAATCTTGGATAAAAATTGCGTTCCCAAATGATCAGACTGTACAGATGTACTACACTAACATTCTCGAGTCGCGCCGTGGTCAAACATTGACGGTCAAATGACTGCAAAATAACAGTCATGCTGAAGTCATTTTGAACACATTTCGAAGAAATCACAGGAAAACGTTTGCGCTTCATATGCAATTAATGCAATTAATTGGAGGTTCTGGAATCGATTTATCGACTTCTAGAATAATCTTACGATTTATCAGTTTGATTAGCATCATAAAAAAATCCCTAATTCCTCGATCACCCGGAAAAATCCTAGGGAAAATGGGTTAGTTTGTGATTTTACGCAATTTGTGCTTTATCTAGAATTGTTCTAAAGTACCATTTTCAAAGATCAACCATTAATCGTGTGTGTTATTTCCCGGTCGGAGTCGAGTCGTGCGAATATTCTATATGACCGACAAATGTATGCTTCATAACCCAAAACCGACCAATTTTTGGGCACCTTTTTGTAGTACTTTTCGACTTTGGTGCATAAATGCGAATGGCTGCTAGACGGTCGGATAGCATACTATTTTAATTCGCTGTGTTGCTTGGGTTAGAAGTGAGAAAGGCTAAGAAATCGCCAAATTTCCGCAAAAATCGCATTGGGAAAACAGAATCAATTTTTGACATGGAAAAATAGAGTAATTTTTCATGAAATATTTGACAACTTTCATATATTTCCTCATACAAACTCTCAACCATTTACGGTGTGTCAGATAAATAGGGGTGTCGCTGCAAAATGGGGTAATTTTTGCATGATTCCGTCGTCCTTTAGCTGTTTTATTTTAAGTGATGCCTTTTTAGACCGATAAAAAGCTCTTTTATCGGCGCTTTTTAAGGGAGAAAATACAGCGCATTACTTTAACCCAGACAACACACACAAAACACCATTTTACCAGAGACATATTACACCCTTATGCTGAAGCCCAACATGCATGAAAAATTCAATATCCTTTCGCCGCTACCCAAAAACAGCGCACCGCATAAGATTAAATGAGGAACTTCCATGGAGGAGCTTCTTAACCCCAGGAAAATGAGTGAATAAATTTGATATTATGAAACTTTATGGAATAATGTAAACGAAAGTTGGTAGAAAATCCACCAAACTCTATATGTGTGTGTGTGTGTCTGTGCATCCCTTAGCATTTCGTCCAATTAACCATCCCTTCTGCCGCCTCTCGACACACCCAAGAAACCTCCTCACAATTTATTTTAATGTCCCAAACGGAGAAATCACAATCTAAAACCTCCTTGACACTCAATTTAGGATTTAAATTGAATGAACGTGAGTGGTTATTTTGGAATCACAAACTCCGATGATGGTGTGAAAGCATAAGTATGTTGAAATGTTTTCTCTTTCGCATTTCCCCAAACATCGCCAAATTGCCAAAGATCTCTGCGCGCGATGTGATTTTAAGAGAGTTTCAACAGCGCACTCATTATTGGAGTCGTTGACAAAAGAATATTTAATTGAGACACCATTCAAGACGAAATATATCAATTAAAGTCCTCAAGATGTCGTGACACGCGAAGCCCCAACTTTTAAGGGACATTTTGCGCCAATATAAATTACCGCCGAGAGACGGAAATGTGCAACATTAAGATAAAATTTAAATACTCTCCACGACATCCAAACCGTGGCGCGGAGAGTCATCAATTCTCCGCAGCACGCAGAAATCATTATTCCATCTGGCAGAGCCAATAAAACATAAGAAGTATCTTAATTTGATTGCACATAGAGGGAAATACATAAAAATTTATAAGGATCCACGCAGCAGCATAAAGTAAGAGCATATTTTCCATATGGATGCCCTCTCTATATCGACGGGTGCCTCGAAGACTATGAAAAGCCAAAATCGCCATTTTTCAGCTCAGCGAATTCAAAATTTAGCGCTAAAAAGCTGTGAAATTGTCCAAAAATTTACTTCAAAACCCTCAAAACGCCTTCAAACTGTCCTTTAAAGTGCAAATATTGCTCTGTATTTTTTATTTTGTAAATATTTTAGTTAATTTTATTGATATTTATTAGAATTTTTGACTAAAATATGGCAAAATTAATGACAAAAATCGTTGGGACAGTAAAAAAAAATCAGTTTTGGTCAGTAAAAATGCAGTTTTGTCAGTAATAAAATTAGTTTGGTCTGTACAGCAAATGTACTGACCAAACTGTTTTTTTTACTGACCAAAGAGCAATTATACTGATCAAAGTGCATTTTTCACTGGCCGAACTGTAAAAATACTGTTTTGGCAATTTTTACTGACTAAATTGATTTTTTTACTGATCAAAATGCTTTTTTACTTACCAAATTACATTTTTATTATAAAAACTGCATTTTAAATTGACCAAATTGATTATTTACTGACCAAACTGAATTTCTACTGACCAATTAATTGCAGCCAAAATTAATGGAAAATCTGAAAATATTTCTTTGCAAAGTCGATTTTATCCTTTCACTTGAACTTTTCTTTACAGTTTACAAGTGAAAAAATTAAAAAAAAATAGATATGAGAAATATTCAAATAAGAAATATTGTCTCGCAAGATACAAATCGTAAAATTTTTGTACAGTAAGAATAAATAAAAAGCTCTTCAAATCGACTTGTCATACTTTTCGATTCACCCGTCGATATACTCCACATATATTGTACACAAGCGCCTTGAAATTCGCCCACGCAATGCACATAATATCCCTGCTTTTTTTACCACATTAGAAGTTCACATAGGCGCCAAACTCGCACGGTCAAACACATAATACACCCAAGCTCTGGCCCGCAGGTTTATCATAACTCAAACTATAGACACATTTTAGAGCTTACCAGCTGTGCTTAATCCCGGACTTGCTGTGAATTTTGCCACATCGACGATTTTCACTGCGAATTGTTGATTTGATTCTCGATGAATACATCGCCGCACGATGGAAAATGGACCTCTGAAATTGATAGAAAAAAATATACAGAAGAGATATCAATTGAGCTTCCAAATCTATGACAATAGATTGCACTTCGCAATGCAATAAATATGTGCGCATCAATGGATAAAAATGCATTCAGAATTCTCTCAAAATATATACCCAAAATTTATCATTCATTGTTTAGAGATTAATCTCTTATTTCAATATTTTTCCATCGCTCAAAGTCCTCAAATTCCCCAAAATTTGACGAAAAAAGAGAGAGACTTTTTACATGCTTCGTCTGTCCTTCCTAAATCCGCCGTTAGAGGCGCTAAGGTGAAAACAAGGATTTACGAAACCTTAAAATCGAATATCTCGAAAACAAGACGTTGTATTTTCTTCAAATTTTAGTATGTTGTAGCTGAGATCGAGACCTTTTCAACAAACCCCTATTTGTGCAGATTGAAATTATAGGAGTGAAGATATGGGGGTTCAAAGTTCACACTTTTAAGGGGCGATATCTTCGCTGTTTACAGACCGATTTCAATCATTTCTTCAACATAAGACGTATCTTGGCGTCTTTCAGTAGACTAAAGCTACTTTTAGTCTGTGATTTCACTACAAACACCGCTATATTGATTTAACCTTAAACGCCTGCATCTCGGCAATTAAACGATGAATTTGATTTTAATTGATTTCACCCACAAGCTAAATCTTGCGGCGTTTTCTTATCACATCTTTGCCAGTATTTTCTGTTATTAAATTATAAATCAGTGAAAAACAATTGAAATATGCATTGAGATAAATTGAAAACGGAAAAAACAGCCCTATTTTACATTCATTGTTACACATATATAACCGTTCGTGATGTGAATAACAAAAAAATCTTTCCGCTTTCTTATCTCTCAAGTGTTATTGCTGCTGATAAAGTATGAATTCACTTTTTTTGTTGTTCTTCTTCTTCTTCCACTCGACAGGAGAGAAACAAATCCTAATGTACATAAATTCTAATTTCCCTCCACCACCAACAATTCCCGTGACATGTCAACAGGGGAGGCAGAAGAAAAAAAGCGAAAACAATGGGAGAAGAAGAAATGAATGGAGAAAAGCACATAGAGAATATATTCTTCCGACAACCCAATTATTTTTCACCATTCTCGTGGCTTTTGTTTCAAATATCTCTCTATCCGAGTGCGTCAATCATTTGTACATACACAGACGAATGACAGAAATGTTATATCAATTTGAAAAGCTCCTTATATTTGTGGCAGGAAAAAAGCTCCGCCAGAAATTCACACAGCGAGAAGAAACATTCCCGGTAAAACTTCACAAACAGCAATGTGGCGTTTTTCTTTTCTTCTAAAGTTAATTGAATTGGAAATTGAGGAAAAGCGCCGAGAAAAGTGAGATCCGGCGAGGAAAAGCAAGGCAAACTCACCTTGATAACACACACAATCAACATATCGCAATTTCTGTAGAAGAATCAAATTTTCCTGAAAAATGATCTTCTGTCGATTCTTCATGAAAATGATGAAATTGTCTTAAAAAAAATTATAAATTTCCATGCTTTTTAATATCTTTCTTCTGCATTTTATTATTGGGAATGTGATGGAAAAATCTACCAATCGTGAAAATCGTCAATCAATTTTTCCCTCTCGTTTTTCTATATATTTTTTGGGCAAAACGCCAAAGAATCGCACATAAACTATGCCATTTTTCATTGACAAATTCATGTATTTACAGTCACTCCCCTAATTTTTTTCCTCCCTCCTTAAATCAATGAGATTTGTCCTGTCTTCGCACTCAAGATCTTTCGCGGGGTGACTTTAAAAATTGAATCACGCGAGGAAGTGAAAGAAATGCGAACATCGCAGATAATGTGATTTTCCCTTGTCCTTCTTCACACTTTCATCTTTGACTATAATTTCTCAAGGCACACACACACATCGAGTGTGCGCAATTATTATGTTAATACGATAATTATCGCGTGAAATTAATAATTAATTAGTAAAACGGAAATTCACCAGCATCCAATTCCAGCGACACGCTTTATTATATGTATGTATATTAAATATCACGCCACGTCAGCGCGCGCCTTTCAACTCACTTCGCAGTCTGTCAACGTTTTGTGGAAATCCATACAGAAATGTTCGCTCATCGTCAACAATTTGAAAATTAGCATTTAATTCAAGAGACAAAATTCTCAACAACACCCTCAATAAATTACACGCGCAAAATGCAAGTGGAAATTCTCATGAATATCCTTCGTTGAGGCATTGAAAAGTTTTTCAGGTGGGAAACAAGAGAGAAAGAAAAAAAAATTAAAGCAATATTGCGCGAAACATCGCTTGTGATATTCGAAAATTTAATTTTATCCCCCAAAGAGTGTCTCATTCCAAGTGTCCTCATTGCAAAACACTTTGAAATATCATTTCATCCAAGGGGCAGAATATATGACTAAAATCTGTTTGTCACTTCCAGAACATTAGCACTGCTTAAAACCTGCGTTTTTCTCATTTTCTTCGCCTTTTTCGGGACTTTATAGACTTTTCCAACCGCCCAAAGTATATCATAACCTCAAATTTGAGGTATCTTTGACCCAAAAAAAGCTTTTTTACTTTTATGGCCCTCAAAACTTAAAGAGAAACAGTATTTAAGAAATATTTGAAGTTTTTAGTGGATATTTTGATGCACTTTGAAACATAACCTAGAAATTACGTTGAAAGATCGTAAAGAATCCTTGAAAGACACTTATTCGGAACATTTCAAGGGCAAGACAAATTGACAATGAGCTGAAATTTGCTATTTTAGAATAGAAAATCAATCAAACACCTCTAAAAAAAGACAATTTTGCATCCTGAAACAATATTTTTGAGGTTATGATCAATTTTAGCACAATTAACACCAGATTTAAATTGAAAGTTTATGGTATACAACAGATTTCATCATTATTGTGCTAGTGAATTGAAAATTTTATGAGTTTAGCGCATGAATGAATGATTTTGAAGGTTATTTAGCGGCGAAGTTTGTCTTAAATTCATAACATAACCTAGAAATATTTGAAAAACAATTCTTTTCACCAAATATTGCGTTAATTCCTTTTCAAAATGGCTTTTGAACGAATCACAGTGATGCTGTTGAAACACTTCCACTTTCAATTACTTAAAATTGAATTGTACACCACTTCCGACCATAATATCTCCCCCTTAATTTCACCCAATCCTCGAACAGACTCACGCTGTGGATGAAACTTTAATCCTAAATTTAAATTTACTGCATCTCTTCTAAAATGTGTAGATTTTCCTCCGCGTAAACTTTTCTCATATTTTTACATATTTCCTTCCCCACAAACACAGTCGAAAAGTTTGTGCTTTTTGCAGCAAAAGTATAGTTTTCATATCTTCCTCGTTAGCATGATCCACTCTCTGAAGACCGCCAAAAAGTCGACTTGCACCAGCTTTACTAATAAAATTATTTTATATAAACTTGCACAGTATAAAACTTTACAATGCGCGCCTTTTTCCCACCCCCAGTTTAATAAAAAATATATGTTTATGAGAAAGTTTTTGCGTGAAAAACCATCCCTTGATTCATTCTCCATGACAGCAAAGAGCTAATAATATACATAACAAATGGAAAACTTTAACCCCCAAAAAGTTAATATTTAGAAATATTATACATTATTCTCAAAGTTTTTTTTTTACTCTCTGTAATACAGATAAATCGAGTCGTTGTTTATTTAATTAAATTATGTATATTAAATTCATGTAAATTAACTGAACACGGAAAAACACGAAAATACCCTTTTTGTACATTCACCAAAATGGAAATTTTCACCCTCACCACAGGACATTTTTCACCATGGCAATAATTCAGATGAGAATTTTGGGAATTTTTCCAACAGGACAAAAAAATTCCCACAATTGATGGATAAATTGGAAACAATGAAAAGTCAAAATGGCAATTTTCAGCAGAGTTTGTTGAAAATTTAATGTCAATATCGATGTGAAATTTGCCCAATTTACCCCAAAAAGAGCTTCTAATCGTTCATCGAAGTGTTAATATTGCTCCATAATAATTATTTTGTGAATTTTACAGTTGATTTTATTGGTATTTTAGGGAACTTTTGACTGAAAGATGGCAAAATTAATAGATAAATTGAAAATGTTGGATTCTAAAGTGGATTTTTGATGCTTTTTCCTCATTTTTCGACCTAAAATAGTGGAAATATATTTTATAATGAACCAACTTTCCTTTCCCTCTTGAATAGTTTCTATTGTGTACATTTCTCTGCACTTCTATCACTGGTTGAAAGGCCAAAACAAACACGCCCCAATGTCGTAAATTAATCGTGAAATTGGGCAAGTGTTGCTTGTTAAGTGATACAATGTTCGTGGTGTAAATTTCCGGGGGGGGGGGAAAGAGCACAGAATTGTCTAAAGAAGTGGCAGACAAGAGTTCTCTTAAGCAATTTAATTTTCATTTTCTTTCCGCCCTCGCGAAAAGTGGCAAAAACCAAGCCATCGTCCAAATTACATTGTATCACTTTGGCAACACTCCTCAAATATATTTATTCACACACTTTCCAACAGTTGATTTTTGCGTAAAATATAACATATTTTCCATACTTTTCTACGCCCACAATTCTAATGCTTTGCTAGAGAGATTTTTCACTCACTTTTGCTCTGTGTGACTTTGAGTGTAATTCAATTTTGCGAGGAGTATTTATGAATGTTTATCAAGAGAATTATTCACACTACGCACAGAGCTTCAGCCTATTCAGCCCAATTAACAAAGTGAATGTTGAGGAAATGCTGAGCTCTATATATATGTAATAGTTACGTTTGTACATATATTTCAGTCAATACAAATTTAATTTACTTGTCTTTTAGCAAAATTGTTGTCTTCACTGTGGTTATACTTTGTTTAATCAACGTGAAATGTTTTCAGACATATGTAATATACATCAGCACTATATATCTCCTTCCTTTCATCCCCGAGATGAGTGAAAGAGCTTCGCAGAAGAGAACAAGTGCCAT